AGTGACCTCAGGTTTCTGGTGCATCATAAATTGCAGGCAAGAGGACAGATATGAGGTGAAACATTTCCTGACAAATATTCCAGTGGGTTTATTTCCTGAGGAGAATATAAGAAAGATTTTAATGCTGATGACTCCTCTTACCATGGCCTCTTTCCAAGGTATCTCCAATTGCAACAGTCTCCAAGGACTCAGAAGGACTTTTTTGGCCATAAACCCATTCCTAGAGAAAAAGTTACAAGATTTTATATATATATGTCAATATATATCATCAATTTATATAGACACCAACACATGATAAAGAAATAAAAAACTACCTGACAATGTTGCCTCTTAAAATAGCACAAACTGTGGAGCTTTTTTAATCCCACAAAGATTTCAGTGTTTTCTCTTTAGTTGGATTTATTTTCCCCAAAACTAAATGTTTAAAAGGATTAGACAGCACAAATGAAAACATAAGGCACGAAAAAGATATTTTAATCACTAAATTAGAAGTTTCCTCTTAATTCTGAGTACCTTTGGAGCAGCAGGTTCAGTCACAGCTGGGTTTGGAGACAAGATGCTGCAGATCCTGAGGTCACATTTACTGCTCCTGGTCACATTTTCCCTGCAAAAATTCTCTTTCAAATCAGCTCCACTGTTGTCCAACAGGAACTTTTCACTCCACTGCTCCAGGTTTGGCTCCTTTTTAAAAGGCACTTTGTTCTGAGCTGCATCAACTAAGAACAAAACACAAACCAAACAAACCACAAGGACAAACTTCAGGTTTTTTCAGTGAATTCTGGTTTTAGGTTTCTTCACCAAGAGGATGGTGAGGTGCCAAAAAGCCAGGTCATGTTTTAGGCAGGGAAAAGAAAACACATTGAAAATAACATCACCAACCCTCCAAAACAAAGCAAGTTATCCTTTGCATGTAAATGTTTGGAAGATCATCAATACCAGAGAAATGAAATAAAAACCATCCTCAGCTTCGTGGGAAAAGTGTGCAAACACTAATGCTTAGTGAAAAAGCACAAAGATTATAAATCTAGGAGCTAAAACTGAGGAAAGAGTCACAAAACCACGAGTTTTCATTTTTCTTCAGGGGTTATTCTGAGGAACCACGATTCAGGATGCACCAAGATGGTTAA